GCCCTCTGCCCTCTGCCCTCTCCGCAGGTCCTGTGGCTGTACTCCAACAACATCACCTCCATCGAGGCCGGCGCCTTCAGCGAGCTCCGCGAGCTGGAGGAGCTGGACCTGGGGGACAACCCTTACCTGCGCTGGCTGGACGGAGGCGCCTTCCGGGGCCTGGAGCGGCTGCAGAGCCTGCACATGCACCGCTGCCGGCTCTCCGTGCTGCCCCACGACATCTTCCACAAGCTCTACAGCCTGCAGTTCCTCTACCTGCAGGAGAACCAGCTGCACCTCCTGCAGGACGACCTCTTCTCCGACCTGGTCAACCTCACCCACCTCTTCCTGCACGGCAACCGCATCCGCACGCTGTCCGAGAACGTCTTCCGGGGCCTGGTCAACCTGGACCGCCTGCTGCTGCACGAAAACCGGATCAGGCAGGTGAACAGGAAGGCGTTCCGGGACCTGGGAAGGCTGACCATGCTGTTCCTGTTCAACAACTCCCTCTCGGAGCTCCCGGGACAGGTCCTGCGGGACACCGCCTCCATCCAGTTCCTCAGGCTGAACGGCAACCCCTGGTCCTGCGGCTGCGAGGCCCGATCCCTGTGGGAGTGGTTCCGCAAATCCCGGGTGTCCAGCTCCGAGCTGGTGTGCTCCTCCCCTTCCCTGAGGCGCGGCGTGGATCTCCGGTTCCTCCGGGAGATGGATTTCGCCACTTGCCCGCTGCCCGATCCGGGCTCCTTGGCCGGTACCACCACCACTACCTTCAGCACCAAGACCCGCTGGTGGTTCTCCAAGGCCAAACCGGTCTCCAGCTCCAAGGGGATCTTCGGGAAGAGCTCGGAGACGGTCAAGGCCTTCCCCTTCTCCTCCAACAAGCCCCACAACTCCCTGCCTCCCTCCTCCTCCTCGTCCACCTCTTTCTCGTCCTCCAAGTACGAGATCGGGGAGGAGGAGGTCGCGCTGCCCAAGCTGGACGCGGAGGAGTACTGGGCCAACTACGGCAACGAGGACGCCTCCTCCGTCCGCTGCTTTGAGCTCGAATGCCCACCCGGGTTCGATGTCTCTGATCCCTCCTCCTCATCGCCCCCATCCCTGCCCCACCCCGCCCGCCTGTACCCCCTCGCCCTGGCCTTGCTTGCCCTCTCCCTCCACCTGCTCTTCGGCTGAACACCCCTCTTTGCCCCCACGTCCCACGAGAAACATCTCCTGCCTGCCTATTTACCCTGAAACTGCCCCACTCCTCTAAACTCTGACCCACTCCACTCCTGCTCTTTACTTGTCTCTTGCCCGTTCGAGGGCCTTCGAACCCTGAGACCGGAGTGTCTGTGTGTTACCCGAGTCTTTTGGAGTGCGGGCGGATAGGCGGAGGGCGTCTAGCGTAGTAGGGTACTGTTGACACCTCTGCCGTTTTACGCTACCGACAAGGCCGATTACGGCTGCCTCTGGCACGAACGCAGACACCGTTAATACTGCTGCTGCTGCCGCCGCTACAGCTGACTTACAAACCGCTGTCGCTAGCACTGCAACTACCGTTAC